TAATCAGGCAGGTTGAGCACAAAAGGGTTCTAAATATGAATGAGTGACATGTTTGAGGAAAGAGACAGAGATGAGAATGAAGAGCAAAAACAATTAGATTTCAACACATTGAGCTGAAATCCTGACTAGTGATTCAGGCTATAATTGAAGAAAGTGAGGAGAATATACCAAATCCACATTATCTTGTTGCGTTTTAAATATTTTAGTCTTGTGCATCATCAACCCCACTTCTCACTCATATCCAACCTTTTTTCATAAACTCACAAGGGGACTTGAACTATGAGTGTGCGTGCGTGTTTGCAGGTTTCTCTAACCTTAATCTGGACTCCACAAAAAATTTGAGTGCTGCGAACCGAGACCTTGGGCATTGCAGATAACAAGTATGATATGTGTAACAACAACAGTAACAATCATGTGTGCAGGGAATGATGACGATAGTGTACAACAACATAACGAAACAACAATAATAGAAAGAAAAGAATAACGAAAGATTGAAGGAAAGAAAAGATGAAGGTAAAAAAAAGGATAAAAACAGAAATAAATTTACACAAAGCAACCAACTGGAATGAATTCTAAACTGCTGAAAAGGCGGAGATGGAAGAAGAGGCAGGAGAAAAAGAAGAAGACTATTGACTCGAGAGATGAAGAAGATGGGAAGGTTAGAGGGGGAGTGAGGGGATCAAAGGGGGAGAATCTTAGAGAGGAGGGAGAAGAGGGTCAGGAATATCAGTAGGACGGGAGTTGTGGATCAAAAGCTTGGAGCCAAAGATGGAGGCCGAGAGGGGCTGGACTTGCACCATCTGTTTCCGACTACCTTGTCTCCGTTCTCAATGCTCCCGCTGCCCCTCCTTTCCTCTCCTCCTGCTTCCCCTCCACTCGACCCTCTTCCGACCCCACTACCGTCCTCCTGGCTTCTGGAAACCCATCTTGTTGACGTCAAGTCGGCGACTAACACGGTCGACCTAAATACAGATAGAACGTATAGAAATTAGGAAATGGTGGCATAGCGATTGAGGGGAGAATATAAGATGAAAATACCTCAAGTTGGAGAATTGTACAGAGTCTGAACTGCCGCCGGATGTAGACTGGTTCAAGCTCAGCTCGGGGGAGTCGGTGGTGGCTGATCGAGAATGACAATAAGAAGAGCAATTCAGGGAGTCGACAGTATCGACAGTATCGAAGGATGAGGACGAAGCAGAGTGGTTCAAGACCGTAGAAGTGGGATGTTGGATAGAAGTGGTGGCAGACTGATATTCAATCAAGGGACTCATCACGTTGGAATCGAATCCAGAGCTGAATCCCGACAACATGATGTCCCGGATGTGTTTGAGAGCACCGAGTGCCAGGCCTTGACTAGAATCAACCGGCTGGCCTGGGAACCTGAACAGGTTTTGTTCCAGGGCATCGACGCATAATCCCAGTGCTTGTCCAACTGCTTGATTGGCAAGACACTGTGCATCTTGCGATTGTACACTTAAGTTGTTCATGTTCAGCTTGGGCAAGGCGGGATTGGAGGAAGCGGTAGAATTCCATGGGGATTGTAGTTGAGCCGTCATAGGCGTCGGTGATTCCACGCAGTTTTCCATGGGGAGGGCTGGAGAGTAGCTCTTCCGTAATTCGACTAGCGCCCCCAAAATACTTCTACTTTTCGTTAGCGATGGAGGCTTCATGGAGCTTGTCGAGCTTTGCCCAGACGAGGTGGACGCAATAGCTTTGTTGTTGTTAAGCGCATTAGAGGCCTTCTGAAGGGATTTGAATTGGGGCTTGCGATTCAGCGATTCTTGGGGATTATTCACGGTTGATGATGCTGAGGGTTGACGACTGATGCCAAACCAAGAATCAGGTTCCTCAGGGGTGTTGGAGGCCGCGAAGAGTTGCAAGTCAAGATTTTGCCTGATAATCAACAACGCCGTGTCAGGCGTGGGGAATTGGTAGAGCAAGATAGCTTGGTAGAGTAATAAGGCAATCCTCGAATCTTCGTCTGTCGGCTGAGGGAATCTGAGTATCAGTTGTAGTGCGCCACTGTAGTCTGAGTCCAGAAGGCCTTCGCGTATTCGCAACAACATCGCAATGCAAACAAAGTCTGCCAATCGTAGAGAAGCTCCATCCTGAGCAAAGATGCCATCCCAAAGTACCAAGCTTTCCTGATATGTGAATTCTCTGGTGAATAAAAGTCTCAGCCATCGAATCCCCCACAGCTGAGGTTCAATTTCTAGCTTGTCGAGGTGGGCCCATAGTTCGGGATCAGCATACTTGAGGTATACATGGAAGATTGAGGCGCATCTCTCAACGATCGGTTGTACAAGTGGATGATGAGGGAAGGAGGCATTTGTAGCTGGGAGGATCGTGGCAAGTTGAGATGGAACAAAGCCGACCGAGGTCAATGGTGTGGTCTGGTTGTTAGCAAGATCTCCAAGTGGAATGGACAAGTTAGGGTCGTACCAATGATTCATCGGCTTCATTAACAGAGAGAAAAGACTGAAGGCGTCATGTTCGAGGTGATCTCTGGATAAGACTTGATGGATCAATCCGGGTTTTCCTTTGCTGGGACAGTTTAATGAATCCAAGTCGAGTGTCTCTAAAAGGACCCCTAGGATTTCATGCATTCCCTGTCGATATCCAATATATTGATGAAGCTTGCAGTATACGTGTAGAATGTCGGTGAGCATGGCTTGAGTCCTCTTTTTTCGAAAGTACTCAAGCTCGGGAAAGGTACGGATCACGTCTTGCTTGATGGTTTTGCGTAACTAGAGCACCACCAGGAACGGAGCGAAAGAAGATAATATTAGTGGGGAGATTGGTTTCTCTTTTGGCTATACATTTGGTGGTTTGAGTGTGACGGACCTCAAGGTCGCGCAGCCAAACATTCCAAGGATTCTGCAAGTAAGGGATCGGCAATTCTGTCAGATCATCAGTAAGTACCAAATGCAAGGAAAGATGGTGGTGGTGGTGGTGGGGGGGGGAAGAAGGAGCGGAGAAGAGCGAAAAGAAAAAAGTGCATACATCCTCGTGTTGACTGAGTGGGTTATTGACCCCAAGATCTGTGAATTGAGAATCGAGGGGTAGAAGGGGAGTGGTAGAGATGTGTTGCTGGTTTAATTTGAATTTTAGATTTTGATCCGAGCTCTCGACAGAATCTTCTAACCATAGACCATCTGGGGCTCTGAGATATTTCTGACGCAGTTCTTCCCAATGTGATCTTGATTTCTCTAATGCGAAGGTCCAGCCGGTGGGCGCGAATTTTGAGTTCAATGTGGGGAGTGGTGTGGGTAGTTGTCCGAGGAAAATCTGATGATGAGGTATCAGCCGACATGAATTATTTTGAGATGGCGCCAGATAGGCGTACCCTCCAGTAGACTGATCTAAGTAAGGTGATGTTCCCTTGGAAGGCGGTTCGCTTCAACTGGTTGAGTGAGATGGATGGGCCCGAAAGCAGTTCGAGCCATTTGGAGCTTGAAGATACCAAAGTGAGTGTGGTATTGATAACCACTGTGTCCAAGAGAGAATAGATGAGCTTACCGAATGAGTTCTGGTTCTGGTCTTACCCAGTCCGCCGTCATCGTAGTTGTTGGGGAAAAGTTTTCGCGGAGTAAATTGAAGGTCACCTGACGTTGTACCACCTGTCCCCGGTCCCCGTGATCATCCTGTCGGGAATGACGTGAATCGGGGGTAGATCATCCCCAGGCAGGTCAATGCCTGGTAATTCTCCTAAACTCCAATCGTCGCCAACTCCTGTTGTTGCAACAGTGCAGAGTCACGACTTCCTAGTCATGAGAACGTAACTCCAACTGGTTTACTTTGATCCCCCAGAGGACACGTACTGGCCTCAAAAGCTTACAAGCTCCGCTCGGCGCGACGCAGTGTTTTACCCGCCATTTGCCACCATGTCATCAACATCTCTCTTCTTTATCATCGGAATCAGCAACTGTGAGGTAGGTTCGCATCGATTACTCGCATTGCCATTTCGGAATCCATCTTGAATGCCTTATGCACCTTCTTCGCCAAGCAATCTTTCGTGCTGCATCAAGCTCCAGTGTAAGAAAACATGTTATGAGCTAAGAGAGAAGAACGCAAAACGTCATGAGAAATGGAATCAAAAGATAGTGGTCAATATGGGGGTCGAACCCATGACATCCGCATGTGCAACTTGCCGTGGCCGTGAGCAGGCTGAAGCAGATATTAGTACGGCGCTCTAACCAACTGAGCTAATCGACCGCTCGGTGACGTCACGGCAGTAATTGGAGCTTATCACCCTCGGGGGGTGAATTGCGGTACTTTGCTAAATTTATCCCCCCAAAGACAGTTTAGCACCTCCATTGGACCTGCTGAAAACAAGCTTCAAATTCAGAAAAGCCAATCCCAGATGCTATATCCATTGTACATGCAGAACTTGTATAGCATCATCCAATCCACATATCACACCTCATCCTGTGAAACTCATTAACCTTCTCCATCCAAATCCCTCAATGATCCTTTCAAATATACCCTTCAATAATGATACCAAATACATGCACACTGAAAAACACACACACACACACTACACATCACCTGCTATCATTCCAAATAACAAATCATTCAGTAAGTTTCTCTCTTGAACGCATTCTTTCCCCCTTATTGTGCCCTACATGCATCTCATCCTTTATTTTAATTTCTAACTTGTTCCTTCTCCCTTGCTGACTGAATTAGCTGCAAACAATGAACAGTCAAAAAAAAAAAAAAAAAGAACACCAATTATTTTCCAACTGAGGATCTTGAAATTTGCCGGCCTTGGGGGTTCAAATCTCTGAGGACCCAACAGGAAATTAGCATTTTTCTTGGGAAATAATCAAGATGCTTCATCAGAATGTACTCCCATCACCACTGCAAGTGGCTGGTGGAAATGGTGGCTGGGCAGTAGTGCCCATGGTTCAACTGAGGTGATACACCATGGTAAACTTGTACCTCAACAAAGTGTTCAGATTGGTGTATCCCCCCAAAAAGCATGACTGAGTCCTTCAATAATAATCGAATGGAGGGATGTGCCAATTTGATCCATGAAAATATCACTTAAAAAAGAAATAAAGATGGACTAGTGATTCAAGGTGGATTGAGGTTGGATGAGTGGGAGGTAAAAATCAATGGGTCAGTGTGGCTTGAGGTATCTGTGAAAATATTTTTTCTTAACCAGTAGTTTTCAGAAATAAAAAAAGGGCCTTGGGGAAATGACTCCCAAAAATTGGTCAAACGACTCCCAGGATGTAGCTGACGTCAAAAAAAAAAAAACCAAACCCAGGGGAGTCTTTGTGCTAAATCTGTAAGCCTGTGCCTCTATAGTGGCAACAGGACCCAAAAAAGTTGGGTGTTTATTGAGTGTATTTCTGAGGAAATAAACTACAATAAACTGGCTAAGAAGAAAAGATGAAAATCATTTTTTATTTATTCTTTTATATTACGACTCAACTGATTCATCTCTGATCTGGTAAGCTTAGGACAGGAGTAAAACAAAGAACTCAACAGTTCAACAAGACTGGAGAAAGCGGTTATACACACGCTTCCTCTGGATGATTTGACAGAGGGTCACTGGAAAGAGGTGAATCAGACCAGGTCCAGATTTTTTAGGGAGTAGACC